TAACCTCAATTAAGTAATTTCTCATGTAATTATACACATGGATAGAGAGGAGGCAAAGGATCAGAAATGTTTCGCTAGATGAATGGAGTGTCTAATTCCAAACCTTTATGCAGAAAGGCTTTCAGTGACAAACTTCATTGGACTTAGGTGGAGAAAGGGGAGCATGGAGAGGAGGAGGCGCCAAAGAGACAGTTCAGCTGGTTAGAACCTCTAATAGAGTAGGCCATATTGTAACATAGCTGATGAGTTCTGTTTACCGTGACTTACCTAATTAACCTCGTACCCTCCTGTCACAGCCCCTTCATTCAGTTCCTTTAAGAATGGCCTGGTTTTCCAATTTACGTTACAGTAGACTTGAGTCTTACTCATTAAGTGGAGTCCAATACACACTTTGTCTTCTCTTATCTGCAGGGCAGGCCTATGTGTAGGCAGCCCAACCTTCCTGGTGGCCAGTGCGGGGAGGGGAGGCTAGGGTAAGCCCTAATGGATTGAGTTAAAGAGAAATGTATAAAATTATGAAAGGCACTAGGCAGTTTCAGACGTGAGAGAGCAACGCAGGCTTATCAGCAAATGTCCTTTAGCTGTGACATTAATTTGGCTGACTTAGGTCTAGAACAGAACCCACTGGGTGTATGCCCCGTACAGAGTGTTTATAGTCTTTTTGATTACTATTAAGGACCAAGTATTCTTCTACATTCTGGACTCAAAGAAGAATAAAATATGTTTCTACCCTTGTAAAAACTTTTATTCTATCAAAAGCAAGATGATCACACTTATTACAGTGTAATGAAAAGAGCAAGGATCAAAGAGTCAGAAAATCTGAGTTTGAATCCTTCATCTGGGTGTAGGGGGTGTGTGTGTGTGTGTGTGTGTGTGTGTGTGTGTGTGTGTGTGTCTGATTGCCAGATAGGGAGGCTTGAGTGAGCCAAGAAGTCTAAAGAATATGGTCAACTGTAAAATGTTATTAAAATATAATCTTTGAGAAACACAAAGTGCTGCCCCAGGTGAAAAGGTAGTTGTGTTCCTGGGCGTGCATAAATGAAGTCACTTTTAACAGTGAGAAGAAATTTTCTGATCATTACCAGAGAAATTAAATTCCCAACACTCTAATTTTTTAAAGTAAAATATTTGCAAACGACACAGAAGCTTACTGAAGACTCTGTGATTCTGAGGTTTGTCCTCTCCCTCTGTTTCCTCCCAATGCAGTTTGTCAGCCTAGTGTCCTGAATGTTCAGAAATGGCTTTGGGCTCTTTTCTTTGAATGCTTAATGGGAAATGATTAAAATCCCCAGAGCAATTGTTATTTCCCATCCGGAAACATTTCATGAAGAAAGTTTGATCATGCAGAGATCAATGGCAGCAGGTCAGAGTGGTGGTGATACTGTATGATTAGACTTTGAAAGAAATTTGTATTTTAAAAGCTCTTTCAAATTACTTATCAATTCATAGTGACAGTCACCATGATTAAAGAATATTTTTTATCCCTAAGAATATTTTTCTATAATGTAACTCGAGGGCTTAATTTAATTAGGCTGCCCATATCAGTGATGTTGTACAAGCAGGTAACTAGTTATTGAAGAGAGCACGTGGGGTGTGAAGCAGATCTAGAAGTGAGGATGATAGAAAACTGCCAGCCAAGGCATTTTTGTGTTTCAATGCAAAACGTAAAATTGTAATATTGAGAGAAAAATTTATTAATTTAAATACGTATAATGCCAACAATCCACCCAAAGTCCTTCAAAATAAATGTGATTTGGCAAAGTGCTGACATTTTCCAATGTATTCCCCCAAGTGTTTCTATTGTCCAAATGGCCATATTGGAGACAGACAGAAAAGGTTTGGTGAGCCTGATGCTGGATTTATAATTAGAAAGGTAGCTCCCTTTGAGATTAGACTAACAACCCCAAGTTTCAGGAAAATGATAGGGCTTTGCATTCTTCCTCCATAACAGTTTTATTTGAATCCCTAGATGTAGCCTGACTCTTCTGAGAAGTAACTATGATGTAGACCTACTGTGTTTTAAAGCATCAGGCTTCTTTATTTTCTGTTTTTTGGAAATTCATTAGTAAGTTACACAAGTGAAAAATGTGCGTAAAAACAACAAATGCTACTAAGCACGTTTTGAAAAAGTATGAGTGTATTACATTTAGACCTTGTCTATAATTGCAGAGGAATAATTATAAGGAAATATTTACAGGACCAGTAAATGTGTATATTTGAGAAAGCCCCGCTGGGTCACCACAATCTTGAGTAGGAAATGGAGAAAGCTGCATTTTTTGACTGTGAAAAATAGGATTCACTAATTGAGTGAATGCTCATGTGTTACATGTGCTGCTTAACCACATTTTGTTATTTTAAAGGAATAAATATGGCACTTCTGGTGTGAAGACAATTGCCTAAAAGAACAAACATGAGAAGTCTCTCAGCAACTGTCTACAGATTCAAATTTTAGGTCCTCAAGCAAATACTACATTAGCTAGAGTTAAATTTATGGAGTTTCATGTGTTAGGGACCTTATATTTAGAGGTAGATGGTGTTTGCTGTAGCGGAAGGGAGCATAGTTTTGAGTTGTCACTGGTTATAGGGTTTTTAAAAATTTAGATAATTTGATTGTATTATTAAAAAGCATAAGTTTTATTTATATCCTAGTATATCTCTGGCACCAGCTGTTCTCATATACAAGGTTGGAAATAACAGGTTTCTAGATAGCTTATCTGAATCATTTTTGGCGCTTTTTTTGATTATTTTAGCCCTCAGCTGGGCTATTGCTAAAACCTGTGGTAGTTGGATCCAATCTGATCCCTTAGTGAAGTAACGGTGTTTAAAAAAAAAAAAAAAGGAAAGCTTTACACATAGACACAGTGATGGCACTAGAGATGTTGAATACCTGTGAATCGTTATTTAGAAATTGCTCTCAGGGGCCGGCGCCATGGCTTAGCGGTTAAGTGCATGCGCTCTGCTGCTGGCGGCTGGGGTTTGGATCCCGGGCGCGCACCGACGCATCGCTTCTCCAGCCATGCTGAGGCCACATCCCACATACAGCAAGGATGTGCAGCTGTGACATACAACTATCTGCTGGGGCTTTGGGGGGAAAAATAAATAAATAAATAAAATCTTTAAAAAAAAAAAAAAAATTGCTCTCAGGATAGAAAATTTGGAGGAATAATTAGAAACAATATGCTGATCTTTTTTTGTTAACAGCTTTGTTGAGATATGGTTTGTATACTATAAGATTCACCCTGATCGTTTTTAAATAAAGGGAAAATGTTGATAGGTGTCTCACTACAAGCCACTTTTCTCTATTTTAAAGCATTAAACAATAATAAAATATATGTTTTTATTAATAAGATGATCTTTAACATTTCTAAATCTGTAAGTGGGCAAGACTTGAGTGGACCAGGAAGAATGTCGTGGTTCCCTGTGTTGGAGAAATACAAGTTTATGTGGGATAAGCCAATGCTTAAACATGCCAGCCAACTGACAGTGTTGTGAAATACCAGAAAGTTCTATTGTGGTGTACGCAATAATCAGGTTAAAAAGAATTACTAGAAAAACATCTTTTTGCTTGTAGGTAGAGGAGAACCTGGTAAGGATTGTCCTGATTCCATGATAAATCTTTTGTTTTTCCTTTCAGAGATGATTTATTTAAACTTCTTTTGTGTGTGTGTTTCTGTACAAATATAGCATATGTACAGAAAACGTTGTGAAACCTGAGAAGAGCATAATAAGGATAAACGAGCACCTGTGTAACTACTACTTGTGTCAAGAAATAGAACATGCCGGCCTCTCAGGATCACTCCATGTTTCCCTTCCCCCACCTCAGTCCTACAACTATCATTTTTATGCTGATCATCTTCCTGCGTGTCTCTCCTTCCTTCCCTCCCTCTCTGTGTCTCTGTCTCCCTCCATATATATATATAACACCACCTATGTATGTGTCCCTAACCATTAAAGTCTAATTTTGCCTGGTTTGTAAATCCATATAAATGAAACCACATGTTCTCTTTGCCTCAGTCAGGTTTATAAGATCCATCTACGTAGAAGCATGCAGTACAGTGTGTTCATTTTCACTGTAATATAGTATTCCATGTATGAACATGATACACATACTTATCCATTTTATAGTTTGTGGGCTTTTGAATTTTACTCAGTTTTTTGCTACTGCTTATTATGCTGTTTTTGGGACCTTTATGGTCTATAAAACCTGACACACATGGGCATGAGTTTCTCAAAGTGTGGTCCCTCCATCCACAGCATCAACATAAAACTTATTAGAAATGCAGATTCTCAGGCCCCTACCACAGATCTACGTTCAAATATTACCTTGGGATGGATATATATATATCTATACATGACTGTGCCTTTGCTCAAAATTTTTGCGTCTTCTAATTTGGAACTGCCTTAGGAACCCATTAATGATCACACACATGCATATGTACACACACATATACACCCATGCTCAGTCTAGTCTCTTAGTAATAGACTCATTACTCATTTTTGAAACAAATTAGTTTATCCATTTTGAGTCAATTTTTTGGTATTTTCAAAGATAGAATAAAGATTCAAAAGAAAAAGATTTGCCAACATTGAAGATATGCAGTAGACTGAAGTGCTAAAAGAGGACCTGAATACAAATTGGGCAGAGCTTTATTCCTAGAATGAGAGCTGTGGAGCCCTACAGAGAAAGCAGTATAGACTCTACAATAAGGCAAATGTGGGTTCGAATCCATTTGTACCACTGACTGGCTGTGTCATTTTAGGGAAATACATTTGTAGTTCTTTGTACTGAATTTCTCTGAGCTTCAGTTTCCTCCTCTGCAAGGAGAGGACAATAACATCTACTATAAAACCATTCATACATAATGATTATCGGTAGAGCCACATTTGTACTGTGGATGTGTTTCAGCCTTGGCTCAGCAGTATTAATCTGTTTGAATATGGCTGACTGGCATGCCTTCGTAGCTTTCATGCTTTTTACTTTACTCTTCCCCTTCCTGCAGGAACGATTCCAGGTGAAGAATCCTCCCCATACATACATTCAAAAGCTCAAAGGCTATCTGGATCCAGCTGTAACCAGGAAGGTAAGATCGATTTGTTTCCACTCTTTGTTGTTGCTTCCTCATTAGTGAGAAGAAGAATCCTGCAGTGGAGAAGACCTTCCTTCCTCTGTATTATTGCCTCTGCCCGAGCCTCCAGGAAAACAACCTTTGGAGTCGGACAACATGAAAAGACAAAGAAAAAAGCCATCCTTCTTGCGTGAGGATGTGTTTAAAAGTACTTTCCTAAGATGGGAGTCATGTACCTCTGATGGTTATTGAGTCACTGCCATTTCCAATTACACAGGGCAGTGAGTCCAGTCCAGAGGTGTTCAGGCCGCTAGAAAAGCAGGCCTAGCAAAGGGAATACTTGTCTTTCATGCTTTGGTGCATTTCCAGAGACCTTGAAAAATCACTGGGGCTTTGTCATCCCAGCTGTGCACTCACATCCTGTGTTGATGCTTTTAGCAGCTTCCCCCGCCCCAACCCTGCCCCTGGCCCCAAGAAGGTAAGAAGAGAATAGCTGATTCCATTCTCAACTGACTCTCTCCTTTTACAAACAAGCCTTGCTTTGTGCAGCCACACAATTGGTTTAAACTGATGCCTCGTGGTAAACCATGTAGCCTGGCACAGCCCTGCGGGCCTGGACCAGTCCTGGGATGTCTCAGGGCAGAGCTGTCATTGCTCAGGATGGGTAAGGAGGCTTTTCACCAGATAGTGCTTGTTTTTCAGTTGACCTTCCATAACTCCTGCTTTCAAGGCTGCAGCAAAAATATCTCTTGTTTTAGCATGTGACTTGTGAGAGAAGAAAGGCACACTTTTTCTAGTTAGTGCTGTTTCCAGGGCTCTTGTCTTGTTTTTTTTTTTTTTTTGTAATCTCCTTTTTCTTCATCTTCTGCTTCTACTCTAAACACTCCTTCTCTCACAAAAAATAATCAAGCAAAGGAGAACAGCTATTATTTCCTTTTGGAAGTTTCCTGGCCCTTTGTCCTATGGTTAACATGCAGACAAGTGGAAGTAAAATCTAGGAGTGATGATGAAAATGGACTGTAGAGCTTTGCTGTCGGCTAGACGCTATATGTGACATGAATGTGACATAGCTTTGTGTTCTAAGAATGTACCTGTCAAAGTATCATGATATCCCCCTCCTTGCAAATATGGCGCACATGTTTCTTTTTTTAAAAGAGCTTCTGTCAGGCCCCCCTAAATGAGACAGCTGCTTCATTCTTGTTAGTTTCTTACTTGTCTCCTTCCCAAGGATATAGCAGCCTTCAATTTCATCAGATTAGAGAGGATTAAATGAAGGCACACCCATACACACAAACACAACCCAGAAAAAACCAGGTGGTTTTCTGAGCTATTTCTTTGCACAGGGGCAGCAAGATTCTATTCTGGGAATACTTTTAGAAATCTCCAAAGTTGTAAACCTTCAGGCTAGATGGCTCAGACTCCAGCATTAGGCACGCTCATCCTAAGCTGAGTGTGGCAGAAATGCCGGTGTTTGTACGCAGGACTGAGGGCTTTCCTCACACAGAGTACACGCCATCCCTGAACAATTATCTCAACATTTGTCAAATTCTTAAAAGAAAGGAGAAAATACGTAAATTCCTAGAGAGTGCTTCTTAGACTCCATCCAGCCCTAAGCCCCATAAGGAGAAAGATGCTTAGAGGGGAGAGGTAGATTCCTCCTGGCACAGTCCTGGCTCTCCTTTGGAACTGTTATTCCTGGATTAAGGCAAAGAATGTAAAACAAAAAACAACAACAAATAAGCTGTTCAGAGAGTGTTTTGCTCCCTCTCAAATAACTTAATAGAGAGGCCCAAGACAAAGGATGTCTGTTTTGGCTGACCTTCATTCCTGAAATCTCTGCCCTAGACCCTGTGCGTTCACCTGAATGGCCTTGTTTGATCTGTGCCTCATCTTTCCAGATCAATCATTCAGCTCAGAAAAAGGTAAAATGGATATTGGATCAGCCACTCCTTCTGTAGTAAGATTTCTGTCCGGAGCTGGCAGTAGGAAATGATCTGTTCCCTTCACCGTAGTTTTAATGCTTAAAGCCGGGAAGAAAGGAGGTTTTGCTTGGAATAAGACATTGATTGCAGTTAAAATGAGTTTAAGATTCTCATCTGTATTACGGTGGGGAAAAAGAAAAGATTGCAAATCAGGGCTTTCAATTTTAGCCAGACAGTCTGGGCTGTGCAGTCTTCCCTCACCTGCGTCTGGAGTCCTCGAATAGTTCGTTCATTAATCTTTTGTTCACATTGAATAGAAGATACTTAATTTGCTGTCTTCTAAAAAAAAATTCTCAGGCATATTCTATTTAGATTTTCTTCTCAATAGTTTTAAATCCCTGTAGGAAAGGAAGAACTTAAATTAGATATCTTTGTAACCAGAACTCTCCAAACCAGCCTCCTCATTGAATACCAGATGGCTCTTAGTCTGTGCTTTGGGGGGATGCGCTCATGTCTGGCATGGAAAAAGGCTACCGACCTTGAAGAAGGGAGTCTGGTCCTCTGCGGGTGCTGCAGTTGTGAAATGAAACCTATTGTCTGGGTCTCCAGGGCTCAGCTGCCCCTGTGGGCTCGTCCCTGGGCTGCCTTGTATGGAGAGGGCTGGGAGGACAGTGGAGACTGCTGACAGATGACACCTGGCTCTTTTTTTTTTTTTTTGCTGGTCCCCACAGGCATATGATTTCTCTTGGAAGTGTTGTAAAGCATTCTGGATGCATTGTAGAAGTGCGCGACGTGTTAGCGTTCATTGTTTATATGTTAGAGAAGTGGGTGCCGAGGCCTTTCTGTAGTCCAGAGTCCAGCTGGAAATTGAACAGTTCCCAGGAGAATATAATACAAGAGCGAAGTAGTTTAGTTTTACCTCAGTTATCATGCAGTTGCCAAAGTATAGTGCCTACCATAGTAGATGCCTAAAAAATGTCATCTGCGATTGTTGTCATTCCTGTTATATCTCATAGTGTTTTGATCGAGTTATTTTGTTTTGATATGTGCCTCAGTCCTTCAGCAGATCCCTTTTTGTACTTTGTTATGTCCTCGGTGCTACGCTGGGTGCCCTTGTGGCTGATGATGTATGTAAGGCATGACCTTGCTCTGAGGAAGGATAAGGCAGAGTTAGGGGACCAGCGAAGGCTGCAGGGAACCATCCAGAACTGTGCATAATGCGTAGCTCTGAATGCTGAGTTGTTTTCTAAAGGCCACGTGTGCAGACAGAGACTCTGACATGGGAATGGCCCCTCCAGAGCAGCCAGCACACCTGGAAATGGTTTCCTCAGCTGTGTGGCCATAGACCTTACCTCATCATCAGTCCTCATTGCTGGAAAGCTCCTCAGGAAGCGCTGGACTTGGATGTCCCTCCAAACTGTTGATTCTCTGCCGTTTCTTAGGCCTTTCTTGACAAAACAGAGGAGCGGCTCTCTTTTTTTATTGCATCAGGGATGCTTTTATTTCATAGATCCCACTGTTTCTGGATTCTGAAAACCTGAGAAGGTATTTGGGGTGCTTTAGGAATGGCAGGGGGAAACTGAGGCCATTTGCTTCCTCTGGGCCCTGAGGAGAGGTAGCTAGGGGAGAAGCAGAGGCCTTCAGGAGAGGAGAAGAGGGTAACAGGAGTCGCTTGTGCCGAACAGAGCTCCAGGTATTCAATGGGGCACCAGCTTGCACTTGGTCATGGCGTGGCTCTTCCCATCCCAATTCCTGGAATCCTCCTTGCCAGCCTTCCTCCTTTCCCTGGATGCCTTTGTCTTTGGAGCTGGATGACTCTGTTTCCCCTGCAATTGTGGGAGCAGAGGAGGATCCCTAATATCCTGAGGCAGAATTCTCAAAGGCTTTTCCTGCAAACAGTGTAACGTGAAGGTGGTTTGGGTCTGTAGCACAGAGAGCATAGAAGTCTTCTTAGAAGGCATTGCACATCAAGTGTCCTTCCCTAGTGTCCTAAGATTTTAGTTACTCTTAATAAATGTTTCTGTAGGAAATTATGTTCAAAAGAACTGATGTGTAATGCAACCCAAGGATACCTTGGAGATTATTTAGAGTCGAGAGGATAGAGAGATGAATACGTTTATTATTAGAGGAAGATACATTGAAGAAAGACCTGAGTGGAGTTCTGGAATGATAGGTGGGGTTTTGATAGGTAAGGAAATGAGGAAAGACATTCCAAAAGTAGGAGGAAGGTGTTCCAGGGGAGGGACCTTCCGAGTGAGGGCTTATGGGCAGAGGTAACTCTGAATGTTTGTTTCTGGAAAATGTTAGGTCATGCAGAAAAGAATTTACATAGCAGGCCTGAGACTGCCACCTTGGAAAGGCCTGCTTGCAGGATTGGCTCTTGGTTGGCAACTGGGAACTTGGATTTTGGGAGAGTTCTCACCATTTCCTGATAAGAATGACTCACTGTGCCTAAACTGGTTATGCCAACCATATCGTTTATGCTGAATGCCTTCTGGGAGTCTGGACTTTTGGTATGTGCTGGGAAGACCCTGGGCACTGAGTCTCTAATGAGCTTCCCTGGTAGACAACATTTCATGAATATTATTATTTGTGAAATAGAAGACTCTTGGAAGCTTGTGTCTGGTTTCCTCTGGGCTTCACCTCGTGTACTTTTTCCCTTTGCTGAATGTGACTTGTCTCTTCTTGCTGTAATAAATTCTAGCTGTGAGGGTGACTGTCTGCTGAGTCCTAGCGAATCATTGAAGCTGGAGTGGTCTTAGGGACCCCGACACATGGTATATTGGTGAATATTGTTGTACTGTGGGGTAGAGAAAAAATACTCTACTTACTCGAAGACACTTAGTACATGAAATAAATAATTTTTCCCAGTCCTTTTTGCATATGCTGATTTTCATGATGAGAAAAATGTGTGTGCTTTGCAAAAGGAAATGCAAGAGAAGCCCACTTTAGAAGCAGAGATACTTTCATATTGTGTTAAACTTATAATGAGTAAGCTACAGTTATAGCAGTTGCTAAAATACATTTTGTGAGCATGTGTGTTCTTTAATTATAGAAATTCAGACGGCGTGTTCAAGAATCCACACAAGTGCTAAGAGAATTGGAAATTTCTTTGAGAACCAACCATATTGGGTAAGTGTGCCCACTGAACATTTTAGCTCCAAGGCTTGGACACTTTAAAAAGTGACCAAACCATATCCAAAGAAGTGACTTCCTTATTGTTCATTGTAAGTTAAGAGACTGAGGTTTAGATGGTGGAACCTTCGTTAGCCCTCAAATTGCTCACTGTCCAAGAATCAGTAGACGCAGGACGGATAGCTTTGATTCGGGAGCTTTATAACAATTCTCAAAATCTTTGCTTGGGTGCAGTGATAAGTGGTTGGTCTCTGGTGTGCAGAAGAGTGCAAGTTAGGAACCGCCAACAAGTAGGTAGAGCCGGAGATCTTTCAGTCTTCACTGTGCTTCTCCAAGCTGGTTAGTTGAAGCTGCTTCGTTCTCCTTTCCTCAGTGCCCTGGCGTTTCTGGCCAGAAGGAGACAGAAGCTGGAGTGATGTCACCTGACCTACTTCATCACACTGTAGATAGTTTGTTCTGAGTCTCTTCTTCCTGCCTCCCCCAAATTAAAGCACCGTGAAGTGTAAATCCACTCTGGAAAATAAAGTTTGGGGTATCTCTGTGCTAATCATTTCTAAGAGTTTTTCATGCAACAACATGGTTGCTTTGCTGCAAGCAAGTACAACTTTATTGCATTCTCCCTTACTCCTGGGATGGTATAATTGGACAGCACCTTAAAATAAGGTGGTTTCTCTCCAAGGCAGAATGCTATCAGGTACCCTGTTATGTATCCTTAGTTCTACCTAAAGTACCTGTTAAACATCAGGCAAGTTGTTTAACCCCTCTGGGGTTTGGTTCTTTGAGTTTTACGGTGAAAAGACTATAGACTTGAGATCTTTCAGAATTTTCCCCTGTGATATTCTTTGCAGGTCTATTGGAATTGAAAGTTTACGTGTATATTATATTATAGTCTTACAGAGTATCCTGTAAAATAAATATATCACATAAATAACAGTTTACTTCTACTGCAGACTATGTGATGTAAACCATTCAAATGGATAATTTCCACAGTTATTTCAGAATAATTGTTTTTAAATTGCAGAAATGCAAGGTTAATTTATAGGTGATGGAACTTGGGTGAGATGTTCATTTCCTAAAGGATAACTTCACATGTTTGTCACCTTGAGAATGAAATATTCAGAAAATGAACTGATTCTAACCTAAAGTTGATAACCATTTGTACCAGAAAATGGGCTATAGAACAATGGCTCATAGACTCATGGTTTTAGAACTGGAAGAGAAATTAAGGATTGCCTAGTCCCTCATTTTACAGATTAAAAGAATTATGGACCAGAGAACGTGAGTGACTCCCAGAAAGTCGACAGCTGTAGAGCCAGGGGCCTTCGTTCAAAATGTTATGTTCTTTTTCGTATATAGCTTAATCTGGCAACTCTTTCTCTGAAAGGAAGTAAGATAATCAGGGCTCTGGGATCAAAGCAATGAGGCTTGTCTGTTAGGGGTGAAAGTGGTGGTGATTTAATACAGTTGGGCACCCAAGCTTAGAAAATTCAAATACTTTCCAATATTTGTGGATCAGAAACTAGATTCCATTTAGTAAGGTCCAACCCTATGTTGTTGGTACTTCTTCCTGACTGAAAATGGTAGAATGAGCTACAGCCAGGGTTTCTACAAATTGTCGAAAAGCATTTCTTTAAGCATTGCTGAAATAATGTGAAATTTACCATCAAATACCAAAGCAAGACGATCATTTCCAATACAAAGAAGGCTGAAGAGTCCTGGTTGGGTTGATGCCAGTGCAAATCTGCAAGCAATTGCAGTGGTTTATTGTTTAGGATGCTATAGGCCTGTTGAAGGATTCTTACATTTCTTTCATCTTTACCAGCTGAAGTTTCCCCTTGTCTACCACCTGTGTGAGACGCTGTGAAGGCTTTAGCTTTAGCAGCAGAAAAACTCACGGAGGTGCATTGTCTGGTTGTATGTAGCCACTTACTGGCATAATCTTATGTGGAATGAAACCACACACCAGGGTTTTGACCTGTCTTGCCTATCCTGAAAACCCAAGCCTGAACTGGACTCTTCATTATGGAAACTAACTGACTTGACCTCATTTGATTGGGAAATCTTCTGAAGAGTTAATAATATGAAAATAATCAATTACTACAGCGAGGAATTCTTGGAATGCGAAGTGTTATATCAGAGATCCATAGGTTTTATTTCACTCTTTGAGGTACCATGATAGAAAAGTAATTGGGTGCCCGTTTGCCTTATGGAAAGAGAGATCTTGGTTCAGATTTTTGCCATGCCCTCTTATTAGTTATTTGACCTTAGATACATTACATAAACTCTCTGTACTTACCATGTGACCTAAGTTAACTTCTCTTCTGTAAAATGAGGATAATAATACCCTGTAGGACTGTTGTCAGGATTAAATGAGGTAACTTATAAAAGACCTAACATAGGGTTTAATACATAGTAATTACTCAATATATGATAGCTGTTGTTTGTTATGTTTGTTGAAAATAATATTATATCTACTAATAATCCAACTATTACCTAACAATATATTATTTATATATCCCTAAGGAATTCCATAGAGAGAATGTTATCTTTTCTGTCTCGACCCTGACACCTAGGAGATTCTGATTCCCAGAAATTAAGAGGAAGAATTACATTTAAAATCTACTTGTCCTGAAGAAAATTATTCTTGGCACATGCTTGCATTTCAAGGTTAAAGTCTGGGGCTTCGCTGAGATAACATTCCAAGCTACAGCTTTGTCAAGCAAAGGGTTTGTTCTGAGTTTTGATATAAGCCTAAAACTCTATAAATGGAGCAATCTTCTGAGAAAGAAAATTAATTTTCTTTGAGCCAAATTGAAATAAGAATTGGACTAGAAATAATCTTATTCACTTACTCTTAGGAACTATAATAATAGAGAAGAATTGGATTATGACTTATCCAAGCCCTTGCAGTGACTTGAAATACCCTTGAAAGGAGCCGAGCACCGTTAGAACACATTGGCCGGGCAGTGAGAGTAGGCAGATGTCATGGTGTTTTGGATGTCAGGGTGATAAAATTCAAGTGGTGGTGATGGTGGTCAGCTGGGTAGATTTACGGGCTTTATTCCATGGAACTGAGGTGTAGGCTATCTCTTCTTGCAGGTAATTTATTTTAGTAAAACTCCCTATTATGATAGAAAATTACTTTTTATCCTGAGTGCAAGGTCATAGAAATTCTGAAAGATGCTGATTTCACTTTATCTCATTGTGGGAGTGGAGAGAATGGACATGAGGTTGCAGGAGGAATGTGCAAGTTGACAGGGAGAGGAGGAGGTTTCTAGAAAGGGGAAGGAACTGAGGAACTGCTCAGTGACATCTTCTCTCCTGGACTTCCTGGCTTTTTTCTGAAATAGTGCTGGTTGGCCAGGCCAAAAGAGGAAAGAGAGAATAACTAAGGCTGGTGTTAAGAGGTATGCAATGTGTATGGTGTGTGTGCGCATCAAGCTACCCTATGATTAATTCATTCTGAGGTGGTGCTTTTTGGAAATTCTCAAGATCATAATCATTTTGTCATTTATTAAGCACCTTATTAGCCATGTTAAATGTGTTATTTATTTCTTACAAAATCTTTTTATTACTGCCCTTTACCTCTGAACCTCTGTTGTACAGATGAGGAGACTGAGAGTCAGCTATTAAGTATCTTCCTGAAGTCCACACAGCTCGAATTACTGAGAATCAAGCTTAGATATGTCCAAATCTAAAGCCTGTTATAAAACTAGCAGTTCTCAGATGTTTTTATTTTAAGACTCCTTTACTCTTTTATTTTGAACTTCCATAAGCTTTTATTTATGTGGGTTTTACCTATTAATGTTTACTGTGTTGGAAATTTAAACTGACAAATTTTAAATATGCTTATTTAATAAAATTTTATACTAAATATTTAATAAATGTAAGTATGTAAATACAGAATAATAAATACAATGTAACACAAATAACATTTCATAAAAAATAACTTTTCTAAAGTAAAAAGAATTAGTGATGAGTGGCGTTGATTTACATGTTCACTAATCTCTTTGTCTCATTGATAGAAGGCAACTGGATTCTCATATCTTTGTCTGCATTCAATTTGTTGTGATATGTTGTTTTGGTTGATGTGTGTGACGAAAACCTGGCCTTACACAGATATACACTTGGAAAAAGGAATTTTTTTAATAACCTTTTCTGATAATTATGGATATTCTTCTTCAATATTACACCAAAATTCAAGAAAAGGTAATTTCTTAAAGTTAGTTGCAAAGTGAAATCTGAAACCATATCAATGAGCTTTTGTGCTCTGTTATACTAAAATCCGTTGTGCTGTCTGGCACTTTGAATGGGTCTTTTTTCCCATGTGTCATTTTGTAACATCATGAATTGGTCATTTGGAAAATATTGTTTCACTGAGTTATTCTAATCTTTCAAACATCGACACATTTTATTCTACCATATAAAAACATTCACATTTGTTAATAATCACCAGGCTCATCAGAATATACTTTAAGTATTGGGAAGCTGTCAAGCTCATGGTGGCGACTACAAGTGTTCCAGAATTCTGATTTTTTTGTTAGAAAGCTCAAATTTTATCATTGACAACAAATACTGTCAGTTGTTTTCCTGAAAATGACAGGCTCACTTCATTCAACTTTTGAGAAAATATCTGCTACATACCCAAGACAGAGTAACCATAGTCTGTCAGTCATTTTACATTCCATGTAAAAAGGTGGCTAGTTCAGTTTGCAGCTCAAACAGTTGCACAGGTGCTTCTCCACGTGGCAACCGTGGTACCCGGATCTGCAGCAGGAGTGCTTTTTGTGGGCTTGCCATTTTGTCACACAGAAAATTAAAAAGAAGTATACTCAAGGAGAAAACTTTAATAAAATCAGTAATTTTTACTGCTTCACTAAGGGCAGTTTTAAGTGAAGCTGACTGTTTTTTTTTTTTTTTTTTTTTTTACCTCGTGGGTGCGTGTGGTGAAGACAGTAAATAGGTCTATTCTTGGGTGGCAGCAGTTTTATCCACATCTTTTGTACATCAGTGCAAGTGTCAGCACAGTGACGAAAGCAACTACTGTCTTAACATTTTTATGAAAATAGTTTTAACTTCACAAACCCCCGAGAGGGTCTTAGAGACCCTCTCTAAGTGTTGTGTGGGCTACATTCTGAGAACCAATTTGTGACGCTGTCTCACGGAGGAGATTTGGTAGCCGATGGTGAATCTGGGTGATGCTTACCTCTTTTCTCGTCTCATGATTTTTTTCATGATCTTTCAGCAGTTGCTGTTCCTACTGTATGTCTGCAGCAGCTCGCTAAAGGAGACTGGCAGAGGGAATTCACCATTTGACCCTTTATTTTGTGTATCTTAGGTGTGCTTTGTTTGATCTTAGAAATTTAAAGCCAGAAATGTCCCTTGAGTCATTTTCTAGATGAGAACAATGAGGTTCTGAGATTTGGGGGTGGAGAGAAAACAACAGCAACTGAGAAACAAAGCTGTGACCTGTCTACAAGAAAACAGTAACTATTGGCATCTGCACGGGGATCTCTTCCTCCAATAAGATTTTTTTCCAGAGCGATTTTTCATTGTCACTGTCTCTTCCAGCTCCTAGGCAGCTGATTTGAAATTTGCCTAAATTCAAATTTGCAACCTGTGGTAATGACATTGATATCCGTGAGGTTGTCAGTAAATGATGCGTGATGTCAGAGTCAGAAATAATTCTGCTTTCCAAAACGTATAATCACCCAATCTGAAACTGTTTGCATATTGGCAATATATAAAAAAGTGTGCAGGGGCTGGCCCAGTGGCACAAGCGGTTGGGTGCGCGCACTCCGCTTCAGCGGCCAGGGGTTTGCAGGTTTGGATCCCAGCGCGCACCGACACACCACTTGGTAAGCCATGCTGTGACGGTGTCCCATATAAAGTAGAGGAAGATGGGCACGGATGTTAGCTCAGGACCACTCTTTCTCAAGGAAAAAAACGGGAGGATTGGCATTGGGTGTTAGCTCAGGGCTAGTTCTCCTCGTAAAAAAAAAAAAAAAAGTGCATAGCATGCACAGAGGTGAAAGTGGAAATTTACTGTGGGAACCCTAAATTTATGATATATCATTGCATGATCATATACATAAATCTACAGAATGGGGCACCCATATTTTTTTATGCCTTTAGATTCAAGATACTGCTTTGAAAGTTGTCCTTTTTTCATCTTTCCCTATTTTGTTTCCAATGTTGTTTCGTTTTCTCAGAAGTTCCCTCTCACCTCTGTACTTTCCCATACAGAATATCCTAAGTAGGGAAGGGACAGGGATGAGAGTTTGCTGAAATGACTTTGCTAACCTGATATCCTTTGACCAAGGGGTAAGGTAGTCAACTATGAGGGATTTATGTCTTATTCTTTCCTAAATCACCTAGGGGCGTCTGGGCCAGATCAAAGACCAAGGGAGGGTCTTGTAGCTTAGAAAAAGAGGTTAACTGCGTGAGATGAAACCTCTCAGAGGCAGGACATGTTACGCTCTAGCCAACTTGTTAGCAACTGAGCAGCTGCCTCCTGCCTTTGACTTTGAAAATTGTGTTGAAGGCACTTGAGCTCCAAGTCTGCAGCTGGGGGCAGGGGTGTTGAAGAGGGCATTGAATTCAACTAAGAGAAGCCAATTCATAGCCTTTATCCTTGCATCAACATCTATATATATTAGCATCTTGAGTTAAGAGAATTGTAGCTCTGGCTGTACTTGGCAATTTCTTCCTTCTTTCCTCTTTTTTTTTTTTTTTTTAATTTTCTTATCAGTGAGTTATTTGCCTCCTATCCAGTGTGTGGCTGAACTCTCTAAGTGAGGTGGAGGTGCTAGTGGTTGAGACAATGACAAGTCCTCAGGATGACCTGGACTATCTCTACTCTTTAGAGGCATTGTGTGGAAAATCAGCCAGAAGGAGGTACCATGGCTGTTTTTCCTCGATTCCTAAATTAGAGTGTTCTTATGGGCCACTGAGATAGAATATTTGAAACTGAGGCTGCCCTGAAAAATCTGGATCCCATGGTGACTTTGCATATTAAAAAGACCACCCCGATGCCCAGCTCTGGGGATTCCTGCTGCTCACCCGCCACCAAGGGCCAGTGTGAACTGTGCAGGTGAGCCCATGGACCAGACCAGTGGAAGGGCCTCAGAGAAGCCAAGGGGCTTGAATTTCCAGAGCAGCCAATCATCTGATTTTCAGTGAGTTCCAGCCTCTCTTTAGTCTCCTACCAGTTGTAAAAAGAAAAAAAAAAATTTCTTTTACTATTTCTAAGCTTCTGGTTACCAGCACTTAAAATGTCCAATGTCTCCTGAGACCTAGCCACATAGAGAGTAATTAAAATAAATCAAATGAAAATAAGTATCTAGGAGCAGATGCTGTGAGATTGCGTATATGGTGGTTTTGAAATGAAACTTCAGCCTTGACCAGTAGCCAGCCCTGTTAGTTCTGCTCAGCTCTCATAACAAAGCCACTTTGTGAGACCTAGCGGGTGGTGTTTTCCTTGCCAATGTTGCCACCCTAGGTCTCTTTTAGATGAAATGTTATATGCTTCCATGTGGCTGTGTGAAGTCCATATGTTTGTGATAGCCTGCCTGAGGCATGTGGGGGAAATATGAGGCAAGCTGCCTACTTTTCCCACCTTGCTGCCTCCTGGAACTACCTGCAGACCTGAGTTTACATCCTAGACTGGAACAAAGGATGAAACAGAGGATAAAACAGAAAACAAAGGAAAAACGCTCAAAAAACAGAATTAAAAAACAGGCATCCTGATTTTTTTCAAATTTTTTTCCTCCTTTAAGATGAAGACCTCAAGGGGCTGCCCATGTTTAAGACCACACACAGGATTGTCCTACTGTTGTTCTTATAGCTCTCAAAACTGGCTTCCCCAGTGGTTCTCGTGTCCGTAGCTGGTGGACCTTGTGGGCTTGGTGTTCCTGGAAGAAGGTGACCATTTTGGAATGCATTTGGCAGATGGACCGGAATGTGGACTGCTGTGATAGTGGCAGACCTTTTTACTTAGTGTTTGTTGGAGTTTCAAACCTAGTGAAGGCTTCAACAGATGTCACAGCTTCTTGGAAGATGAATGCCCTGGGAGAAGTCTGTAATGTGGGGTAACAGGTGTTTATCCTCAGTACCTGAAGGTTCGGTTTGACCACTGTACTTCATCACTAGGAGTTTTTATGAAGAGCAAATAAAAATGTGTAAAAATTCTCAGTGAACTGCATTCAGACCCACCATTCAAATGCAAGATGGTATTATTTTTAAGTGCATTTTTAAAAAATATGATGTTTGTCACATCTCAGCTTTGATGATGGTAGGTGGTGCCTGCAACTTTTTAAAGAGTTTTAACATTCATGGAAAAAATCAAGCAAATCATTATCCCTATTGAATTTCCAGAAGCCTGTAAACACTGGTCTCTCATTGGCTAGTTTAGTGTTTTCTGTAGCTTAGTGTGCCAACAAGGAGCCGAACGTGGATTTGGAATCAGGCCTGGATTTCAGTGGTGATGTCGTCATGTCCCCAGTCTGCCTCATTCCTCATACAGCCGTGGCTCCTTTAACAAGCAGGCTGTGGATCAATTGTGGTGGAAAAAGTACATTTAGCAAGTTCCTTTTTTACCAAGTTTCTTAGGTTCTCTTAAGTCTCGTAAGCAGTAAAATGCAAGGAAGGGGCATGTATACCTTTTGCCCCCTATTCTTGCACATTGAGATGTTGTGGTTTTCTTAGTTGCCGTATCTAAAAGCTCCCACTTCGTGTGATAGAGTCTAGGCCTTATTCCATATTTCCTTTCAGGCGGTGAATATTTGTGGTGGTAAATCAAAAGTTTTCACTGTGTCCTTTCATGGCAGAGCATGTGATGAACCTCTGCAATAATTTTTTTTATTTTTCAACAGATGGGTCAGAGAGTTTCTGAATGAAGAAAACAAAGGTCTTGATGTTCTAGTGGAATATCTGTCGTTTGCTCAGTACGCGGTCACGTAAGTAAAACTTGGCTTGTTTGCTTTTGAATTTTATGTGGTCACAGAAGATGCAACGTGTGGTAAAATTATACACTGCACTGAGGGGAGAAATGCAGAAGCAGATGTGGTTAAGGTTTAAGGAGATTTGTTTCTATTTGAGTAACTAAAAACAAATCACATAATTTGTATTAGAAATGCTTTTAAGGCAGAAATAAAACAGGGGAGTAAAAATCACCCAAAGAGGAGTCCTTATTTTAAAAAGAAATACTTTCTTTAGTGCTCAAGTTACATATATCCATATGGTAGAATAATCTAGCAGTTATTGAAGGAGGTATATGATGTATTGTTGAGTGAATAAAGCAACATACAGAAAATGACTTACTTTTTATTTTAAAAAATGATATGTATGTATATTTGTATGTGCTAGTAAATACAGAGAAAATGATTGCAGAAATCGATACCAAACATAGTGGGACTGGAGGAAGGGGTAAACAAGGGGCTTTCCCTTTTTATTTTATATGTAATTCTGTTATTTTGACTTCCCCTTTGTAAGGCGGAGGGGAAAAAACTGAGGCAGAGCAGGAAAAATATCAACTTGTTTAACCTTGTTTTGTTAATTCATAAATTCCCATTTGCTAGGCTTCCTGAAAGAAAGTGTACATTTGAATGAGACATTCTCTTCTCCACGTTTTCTCCTTCAATCAAAAAATATTTCAGTATCCACAGATACACTCTCACACACACAGATTGAGGAAATAATATTGTGTTTTTAATTTGATTGGAAGACATTTTGGCCCAGGTGGTGTTTTTTACCCCTCAATTCTTTTTTTTAAAAACAATAACTTGTTTTTTTGTATTGCCTCGCTCCAAAAAAGTCCTAAGACCTAACCAGATGTTATCTCATAATCCTCATCACTTCCTTGAGAATTTGTGAGGAGAAAGCTATAATTATTTCTGCCTTGTGGATGCAGAAACTAAAGTATTAACTGAAACTGGCTCGATGAGTTTCAGTTTTGATAATTCTTGTATATTATAGGGAATAGAATAAGAAAAACCAACAGGCAAGTTCTTATCTTCCTGAGAAATTGTGCTCTGAAATATAATCCTAGTTTTTATAGCATACTCTTCCAAAGGTTGTGTCTTATCTATCTCCATTACGTCAAAAACTGCTAATCTCACTTACACTTCATATTATATGACAAAACAGAATAATGTTACTCTCCTACGTATTTTAAAACCTGGAGGAATATTTATGAAATTAAGGAAGGGCTAAGTAACTTCAAAAATAATGGAAACGAATGGCATGCCATGTATTATACGTTTGCTGTAATTAACCCTTTACCCACATCACAATAGGCCTTGTGAACCAGCTTCCCCAAATGTACCCTCACAGCGGGAAAAGTTCGCTATTATGAGGGGATTCTTCTAGTCTGTGGTGTAAGATCAAACCCAACAGAAGAGCAGAACTCAGAGCTTTGTTTCCTAATTTACTACTTTTTCTTTTTTTTTGGCATTAGCTTTACATTCTTTGCTTATTACTTTTGGTTTTGTTTTGTTTTAATTAGATGAAAAATTATATACATACATAATATATGTTCTTTCTTAAAACTAATGGGCTGAAAAATTTCTTACTATTTCTTGGCATGTGACAATTTCCTAGCCCATATAATGTGAAACCACAGGCTCATGCTCCGTCCCTCATACTGGAGCTTTGACTAAGGTGTTTCCTTTTTCTGCTGCGTGAGAGCGAGGGACGAGCTGAAGGAACATAAGAGTGCTGAACAGCTGGACGATATGGGTGCTGCAGAGTGACTTGGTGGGAGTGTTCCTGACATGAGTGATCTCGAGATGCCCCCTAGGCTTACCTTCTCTGACATGAATTGTAGGCTTCTTTTTTGAGTACTTAAGGATCTATTTGATTACTCAATTGTACCTGGTTTCTGTTCAGCACTGCTTCCTGCATCCTGAGGCATGACCCATAAATTGTCAGCCCCATTCCATGACTTGATACATCAGTCTCTGCCACCTGCATTAATGTTTAATAAGTGGAGAGCATCACCTAGTTTGCAGGTTTATATTTGTTCTAACCAAATATTTTATTTTGGCAATCATACTTCTATAAAAAGTCATACTTGTGTTTTCCAATATATGTTGTTGCTGTTTCTTCTGTGATAGCCTCTAAGATCTTCCAGATGATATTAATTATAGCTGCCTTCTGTTTATTCTCTGTCTGATCAGGTGTTGCTTGGTGGAACTATGGGTAGAAACAATTGATGAAATATTTTTTTGAGAGGCAGAGCTATTGATTTTGGGAGGGGAAAAAGTGCCTGGAACACAAGACCTGTCTGTTTAAAAACTTTGATCCTAAAATTATATAAGAATGAGCAACTTAACTTGCCATTTATTCTAACATGGTTAACATGAGTAATAACCTCAAAAAATGTCAGAGAAACAACAGTCCTACTTTAAAGAGTACCACATTGGGAAGAGATTCCAAAATCAAAGCAAATCCATAACTTTGTGAGTAATGTATCACATATGGTTGGAAAAGCACACTTGCCAACACACTAGGAGAAAATGCTCCATGAAAATTGATGGGTATGAATAAATTAGTATAAGCCTAACATATTGACTTGTTAAAGCAAAATGAAGACAGCTCTAAGATCTTTTTTTCCCCTTCCATCATAGCAATGTTAGCAATTGGTAAGTGAGCAAGCCTTATAGTAAAATACAAATAATACATCACCATTTAATTTTTGCTATTATTCATCTGTTCTTTTGCTTGGCCCAGTATTTGTCATTCTGTATTTTCAAAGCTAACACTGAGTCCGTGGAAATTCTTTTGTGTTTTCTTTTTAGTTTCTTTGTTTGCAAAGACTACCTATAGTAAGGTACAGATGTGTAATAGGAAGGAGCAAGTTATTCACGTCCCTGTATTTGTGTGAATGTGAATTTTTAAGTCTTCAGTGGCATTTCTCTTTTGTTTTAGTTTTGACTTTGAGAGTGTGGAAAGCACTGTGGAGAGCTCAGTGGACAAGTCTAAGCCCTGGAGTAGGTCCATTGAGGACCTGCACAGAGGGAGCAACCTGCCCTCCCCCGTGGGCAACAGTGTGTCCCGCTCGGGAAGACATTCTGCACTGCGGTGAGTTCCTTTAATGACGAGGGTGCAAATTTGGTAGGATACATGGGACAGCAGGGTCCCTCGCTTCTGTTGATGACCCTGGGCCGTGTCTTGCTGGATCCTGCCACGCAGCACTTGCATTTCCAATGATTCCAAGTGGAAGTTTCTTCAGGAGTTCATGGGGTCATCACTTGGGCAGTCCTCTATAGCTTTTAATAGCTTTTGGCAAACGCCACACCTTCATTCAGCACAGAAAGAGAAAATTCTGCTGTTAGGTGATACAGCAGAGTAGTCTCCACAGGCAGAGAAGTTTCTGAAACCAGGGAGATGCTGACGTCGTGATTTAGGCTCTCTTTCCTGGGTAGAGGCAGCGTGTTGAGATGTGAGATACTCAAGAACTCCTTGTTGCTATTCATCCCTGCCTTCTCCCCTCCCTTCCTCCAGTGGTAGCTCAGGTGTGTGTGCTGTGGGACATGTTCTCAGTCACAGGTGCGGAATGCTGTAGTGATCATTTTGCCTTTAAGCAGTGTTTCTTTGGTTAGGTGTGCTCAATTGTCAACCTTCCGTTTCCTCCTAAGGATTGCTTCTCTAGTCTTTCCTGGCTGAAATGCCACCATGCTAAGGGAGGATGGGTGCTGTCCTCCTGTACCACTAATGGGTGAGACTGTTCATTCACTCATACCTACAGTCATTCATGCACTGAAATATATGTTTGAGCTTCTATAATTTGCCAGGTACTGTACTTAGAATTAATATACATGGGAAGGTAAAACAAAACACCTGTCAAGGTAGAGAGATCATCTAGAGCAGGTTCATAAAGGTTTCTATGTTCTAGGAGCTTAATAAAAATTTTTATTAATGAGCCCCTCATTCCCAAGTGTTGCTTACTCTTTGTAGCTTGAAAAATTTGTCTGACTTATTTCAGGCTTGATCTGGCAAGTGGACGTTGTTCCTGTCAGTGTTTGCAATCAGCATGGGCACTGGGTCACTGTAGTAGAGTCCGTGTGTGAGGTTGTAGTCAGTGAATATGTGGCTTTCAGACCTTTTGTATTTGGTAGCCTTTTACTTACCTCTTGTCCCTTTGGCATGGGCTTTGGTCATGGAAAGTTAAAGTCTCTATAATGAAGTTCAGTTCTGCTGACGGATTTGACAGTTGAATATGATGCTTCCAATCAACCATTCAGATTTTCTTTGTTTGGAAATGTCAGCAATATTAATGGGTTTAGAATGATTCAATAATAATGAAGAAACAGTATTTGAGTTCATCTCATGGTATTTGCAATAGGCCAAGGTCTATATAACTTGCTAGTTTGCATCAATTTTACATGTGGACAGGGAACTATGTGGGCTGATTTGGAAGTTGAATAAAGGCCGTTGTACCTGAAGAATTCCCTAATCTCCTTGGTACTCAAGTGGAAATTCTCACCATTAATATTGCTATAATTATATGTAAGGGATTTAATCGACAAAGTTCATTTTAATTTGCTTTTCCATCATTTCTTACCTGGAAAGTATCATATATTGGCCAGCTACCACCTTAACAAGGATTCATTTTGCTGATTAATAGTTAATTATACCTATCTTTGAATTAGTGAACACTGTTCATTCTTAGCACATTGTTTCTGATAGAGTGGAAGAGTCAGGAAAATAAGGGAAACATCCTAGGTTCAAGGAGAGTTGTAATCCTGGTCTCTGGAGGGCATGGTACAGGGACATCAATGTCCAGCCTGATTTGCTTCACCATTGGCTCAAGGTAGATCCTGCTAGAATTGATTTTAGTTTGGAAAAATAGATCAAAAGTATAGAGAGAGACATAATGGAAATACTGTTCTGAGAAACTCAGGGACCATATGATATTTCTGATTGGCAGGTGTGCTTGAAGATGACCAATTAAGAAACCAACATCACATTCTTCTATTTTCTGTTTGAACAGTTTCAAGCTCAGGAATGGAACATTTGAATTTCCTTTGACTCTCCCTCATGGGTTCTAGTAACTCAAGAAAATCAATATGGTGGTAACTTTGATGCTGCTTGTTGACCTGAAGCTTAGATTTTTGTTTTTGTTTTTAAACAATGTATATCAATGATATTCCAGCCCTTGTGGTTCATGCATTTGTGCCTGGATTCTAATTCTGTATTTGGTCATTTGTTAGCATCTGTGACTTATAAAAACAGCAATCAGAAGTACAGACATGGGGCCGGCCCCGTGGCTTAGCGGTTGAGTGCTCGCGCTCCGCTGCTGGCGGCCCGGGTTCGGATCCCGGGCGAGCACCGACGCACCGCTTCTCCGGCCATGCTGAGGCCACGTCCCACATACAGCAACTGGAATGGATGTGCAACTACGACATACAACTATCTACTGGGGCTTTGGGGGAAAAATAAATAAATAAAATCTTTAAAAAAAAAAAAAAAAAAAGAAGTACAGACATGTGGTACATGTTGCTTTTCATATACCCAACGATTGTTTACATTTTTTTTCTCTTCCTCCTTCTTCCTGTCTCCTCTTTCTTTCTCTGCTTCCCACACTTCCTTCACTTTTTGGCTTTCTTTTTGTTGCCCTTCTTTTTCATTCTGCTGTCTCATTTCTGATTGTCCTTTCTACCTCTACTTTCCCCTTTCTCGTCCAACTGTCTCCTCTTCCTCCGGTTCTATTCATCTCTTACACCACCACCAGATTGGTTTCTCTGCCTGAACATCTTCAGTTCAAATACCACCAGAGCTGCTTCTCTCCCTGTTGCCTCTGGAGTAGCTTCAGTTTACACACTGATGATGAGGCTTCAAACCGGAAAATCTCGTAAGTCACGGGTGAAAATGACACTGAAGAGAGCTCGTAGTGCATGGTGGCAGGGAATTGCAGCTGCTCTCCATGTTATAATATGATAACCTCATGGCTTAGTGCCACTACCCTGTACTGGGATAAAGCCCAATGCTTTTTAAACTTTGATACATTGTGTTATCATATTATGATCCCTCATTTTAAGACTTCAAACCTTTAAGGTGTATTGCATTTTTATGAATATTACAGGTTTTTTTTGAAAAGAAAAAAAAGATATTCTTGTTCTATAGAGTTGGCTTATGCTGGTAGCTTTGTGTGATTAGACTGTGTCTTCTATATCCAAGTGCAGATTTTACTTCCCTCATCTTAAACTCCCCATAATAACGTAGATTCAGTAATCTTGTCCTATATCACTTGGCAAAGATGGTTAAACTTAGAAGAAGAAATGAAATTTTAAGAAATCTAAAACACTTTATAAATGGGGCTTGATTAAAGAAAAAAGGAAACGCTCTGTTTTTTTAAACAATTCTAATGTTGATGCACAGTCTTGTCTTTGTATTCAGGCTTTATTTTTTAACTATTTAAAATGCATTATTAAGCATTTTATGACATGGTATTCACCTTGAGTTACATTAACTATTAGATTCTGTATTGTCATGAATTTGTCAGCTTGGCCAGTGGTTAAACTGTTGATATTGATGCAGTAGAAACCTGGATTGTGCTGTCTTATAAGCTTAGAGCCTGGTGTGCCTTCAGTTAAGATAGATTTCTGTTAATGTGGCTACAGATCTAGCTAAATTAAATGATGCTGTATATGCATATCTGTGCACACTAGATTTTTGAAGACAAAGGTTGCATTAATTCAGATGCAGGAGAAAGTAAGTTTTGATTTTTAAGAACGTCATGGTTGATGCCATTAGACTTGAATAAGTGACATAGCCAATAAATAAATGTTCCAAGTTTTTAAAGAAAGGAGTGGACCACTAAGAGCCTAGAGGACGAGGTCAGATTTAAACTGGGAATTTGGGGGATGGCCAGAGTTGATCCTCCTGATGAGCAAAGGCTGCTCTAGGTGGAGGTGAAGTGAAAGAGCATAAGATGAGCAAAATCTTACATCAAAGATCAGGCGTGTTTGGGAAAGAGGGAAGAACCTGTCCGCTCCAGAAGAGCAGCTTTGTGATGGAGGTGGAAGGTTGTCTAATGGAGAGCTGGGGTCATAGACATACAAAGCTGGCAAGGCCTTGTCGGTCACCCCGATTGACCCTTCCCACTGTGGTAAAGAAACCAAGATCCACATTTCCTTTAAGATAGTAACCTCTGTTAATATTTCTTCCTAAGATCCCCTAGAACAAATTTTACTGTTTTTCCTGAGATTATTTGCTTAATGCAATGGCATTTCGTGATAGTCATCATCTGACTATTTACCACCTATATACTTAGTAGATTTACACGAAGAGATGAAGAGTTCAAATTTAGATCTTTGTATATTTTAACATAGTAATCCCATTCCTGGCAATGTTTTTCTTGGGATTAATTTTTTAAAATATTTAAAAATGGCCACAAAGATATAGATAGCATTGATATAATTTTTATTGGGGGGAAAAAAGCTTTTATTGAGTGTCCTCTGTGTGCTGGGCACTGTTCTAAGAGCCTTCTGTGACTTCTGCTCACAGTGGCTCTATGAAGTAGCTACTATCACTGTCCCTATGAGGAAACTGAGGCTTCTAGTGGTTAAGCCACTTGCCTGGAGTCAGTGAGTGAACGAGGTAGGATGTGAAGTAATGACAAATTTATGACAATACAGAATCTAAGGTGGCCCAATCCCACCTTCCACACCATGTTATCCTGCTTGTTTATTCACAGGATGATTTTTTTCCCACTGTAAATAGTAAATTTACATAGTAAATTTCCCCGTAGTAAATATAGTGTTTTATATATATATTTTATACTAATATATATTTACTATACTGTTTTAATATCAGGGTGTCCATATGTCATTATGTAAGTTGTACCCTGCAGGACGGGCTTTTGCTAATTCTTCCCAGAAGATGTGCCTTTTTCTACTTCACACAAAGATGCCACATGAGCTAGTGGAGACTGATCAATATGCTGAAACATTTTATAGCTATTAAAAAATAAGGTTATAGAGAAATGTGAGAAAGTGTTTCCTAAACAAATGACAAGAGTAAGACAAAAAGCTCTGTATTTATACGATTTTGTTTTCACCTATTTGCAAATGGAAGAC